CGCCAGCGAGATCTACGTCATTTTAACGTCACAGTGTCGCGCGAAAGGTCGCACACGGCGAGCATACTGAGGCCTTTATGCTCTTACTATATGCTATACAGAGCCCCCAAGTGGCCATAGAGAGAATGTTTTACTACATTGAATGGTTAAAAGGCTATTGCGCGCGCACAAGATATAATTCGTTCACACCAGTGCCTGAATTGGACCAGAAAAGTTGCCAGTACCCTAATTCAGCCGAACCCTAACCCTAAACAAACATAACCCTAACCCTAAGCAAACATAACCCTAAACAAAACATTACTGGACCTGAATATAAACAACCAATCAGAGCCACAAAAGATAGTTGATTATTGAGTCTCATTCCCAGCATCAATATTTTACGACCTGGAAATGAAACTCAATAATCAACTATGTTCAGGCCTCCAACCCAAAGCATCTTTCCATCTTTCTCAGCTCTGATTGGTTGTTTTCGTTCAGGCCTGGTGGATTCTTGTAAATACCATTATGAGCACTAAGAGGAGCCAAAGGAATTTAATTGTTTTATGACAAAAAGTTATTTTAATAAAAGTTACATACTGCAGCTTTAAAGTAGGTTTTGAAATACTGGATGCTGATGATTAAGAAATGTCTATTTTTATGTGTCTATTGGTTTTTATATTTATATATATTTATAGAAAATAGGCCAAAAAGTATTTTAGTACTTTAAGAATGTTTTCATCATTACTAACTGGTTTTTATTTATTTTTTATCACCTGTTGCCTATTATTTTATGTGTTATTGATTTTATTTTCTCCTGTAAAGAACTTACTGCATTTTAATTATGAAAGGTGCTATATAAAGTGTATATTATTATTATTATTATTATTATTATATGGTAATATCTATTCATTTAATTTCTTAACCTTTTCTATAGGCTATATTTTGCATTTAGTCCCACTGATAACATAATGCATACATACATTACATATAAAACACAATGATAACTTACATAGGCTGACTATATTCATCCCTTGTTCGCTTTTTCTTCATGACCCGGAGGCGGTGAGGGTAACTGACAGGACCGATCACATGTATGTTAGCAGCATATCAACACACTGACAACATATTGCAGGCAGTGGCCCAGGGCCGTAAGATGGCACAGTGCTTTCTGTGTCCTGAGGGCTGCTGCCCCACATACCGTCCCGCTCCGGCTCCGCTGTGCTGGAAGGGGGCGTTCACACACACTCACGCGCGCTATCCGTGCGGAAAATAGGTTTTTAGCACACGTGTGACGTCACGCCCATCGATCGGTTTTGGTTTTCCTCCAAAGATTGTGTATTGAGAAGATGAATTACTCTGTAAGTGAAATCCATACCTTAAATGCCAGGTTGAAGAGGTGGGTGTTAAAAAAAAAAAACAATTCACCCCATTCATTAGTAAAAACTAAAACATCCACACACCTTTCTTTAATTTTTTTCTATCGAATAAATATAAATATATTTTATTTATTTAAATACCATCATTATTTTTCTTAACTTTATTACAGTTATATCCGCCTTTTGTTTGTATATTGATATACAGTCATTGTTTATCTTGGGGAAAAAAATATATATATTTATTTTTTATTTTATAACCTGTAGTTTTTACACACCTGATGGCATAGATGGATGATTTCATATTCCACAGCTCTGACTTAACCAAATCTAACTCTTCAAATTCATTTTTTTCAGACTTTGGTTTTCATAGAACATAAAGTGTATCAATTATTTTGCGTAAGAATTCAAAATAAATTATTATTATTAGGGACAGATACAACTACTTCAGCAAAAAACCTTCCCAATTAAAAGGCTTCACAACAGAGTGTGTGAATGCAAGTCGCCATATGAAACTGAAATAGGAACAGAGTGAGACGTCTTTAAGTTTACCTCTTCTTAGTTTTCTTCTCCCTCGCCTGCATCTGCTGATATGCGTCAAGTTAGCGGAAATTAACCGTAACAGACCAGATGTTTGTTTTATTATTTCTGTAGTATAATTCTAGCATTAAAATAAAAACTCAAAACTCCTCTAGAAAATGATAGCTAGGTTCGCACAACGGTTGTTTCAAACGTCCGTCGGAATTTTTGATTGAACAGGAAACGAGAGAAATAGATATAGTAAAAACGTGTTTTATTTTGAAAATCGAGACAGGAAATGGTAGTGGTTTCCTTGGCTAACTTGGCGGCAGTCACCTGCTGCAGCAGAGCGGAGCTGGAGGAGAGAGTGAGAGGATGAACATCAGTGAGTGAGGCTCCCGGGGGTGACTGGAGTAAATCCTCTCCTCTGAACACACCACACATCTTTATGGCCAGAATGAATTCTCGCTCCCGCTTTAATGTCAGCACAAAGGGCGAACGCTTCTGGGGGAAACAGTGGCAGTCCTGCGCCTGCACCTTTTTCTGAAGCCCCCCCAAAAAAACGCATTTTAGGGGCGACCGCGGACAGTTCACGGTAACAGGCGACGGCAGTTTGAGCTCACCCCGCCGAGGGGATGGAGGTCCACCGTTAAAGGGCTTTTTAAGGGGGGGAACCGGACTCGGTCAGAATTTCGCCAAAATTACGACGGGAATCAAGTACAGCTCCCTGTCTCCCGGTAACGGGAGAGACCACCGGCCGCTCGTGATGTCTCGTGCCAAGGAGCGGCTGAAAGGCGGGAATGAGACCAAGGACAGCGTCACTCTGCTGCCGTGCTTTTATTTTGTAGAGGT